TTATCTAAAAAAAAAATAATGTGTATCTATCTTGAGTGTTAATCAAACATTATATGATAAAATTTCAGATGACAATTTAACTCTGTGGCTATTTTACGTCTATATCATTGTAATTCAAAACTGAAGACATATTTCCTCAAATCTCTTTTAGTCTATTATCACCCTCTTATCATTAACATGTTCAGCAAATTTCTTTTTGATTACAACTTTAGGTTAGATAAGTTTAATTTGCCCCTTTTAGAATATGTTTGGAATTGGGGTAAGAAACCTTATACTATATGGAATATTTTTTTTAAAATGGACATTTGAAGAATTATATATAAATTAAAAATGTGTTATTTTAAAAATCTAAAACCAAATAGTCAACAATTGAAAAAGATTTATAAAACAAAAGCAAGGAATACATTGCATATTAAATGTCTCAGGGAAAAATAGCCCGATTAAAGGACATTAATTTCAGGACACCTTATTTTAACACACTTTGTTTCTTTGTTTAAACTTTTATTTCTTCTTTATTATGAAAAATATCAACAAACTATATTTCAGCAAATAACAAATTTTAAACTGAAACAATAAATGAATATAAAAAACTGAAGTCATGAATGAAAACAATATATTGAAAAAATTTTTTTGGGATGAAAAAGATAATATCAATCATATACTCACTTGGACAAACTCTTTTACTTATATTAATATATATATATATATATATATATATATATATATATATATATATATATATGCATTTTATTTGTATGTAAAATGACTGTGCAATATGAAACAGAAAACATCATTTTCCACAAATAAAGCAGTATTTTGTTTAAAATCAACAATGCTGCATTGGGCCAAAATATATGAAATATTAAAATATAAATTAAAATTTAAAGACTAACATCTTAATTTTCAATTACATTTAATAAATTCTCTTTTCATAAAAATTTGATTAATAAAACAAACAAAAAGGTTCTATCTCTATAGATTACAAAAAAAGGTCATAGAATGCAACAACTGCATCCAACATCTTGATTCTTTTTAAGACAAAAAAAAAATTAAAGTGCAGTTTAGAATTCAAATATTTTAATGTTTGTAATCATGACTTTTTAAAATGGGCAAATTTTTTTTCCTTTTTGAGGATATAAATAAATAAAGTTGAGTTGAAAAAAAATTAAAAATAAACAAAAATTCAATACAAGGAAATAAAAATAATGTGTGTGATAAATTAATATTTTTATCTTTTTAATGAAATTTGAGGAATAAAAAGACAACAAAATGATGCTGTCAGCATCATCCTCATTGATTTGTCTTGTATATACTGTTTACTTCCTTTATTTTATTTTTTTTACCCTGTTTTTTTTCTTTATAAAAGATAAAAAGTTACTCAATTCATTTGTTTTAGAAAATTTCTCTTATCTTGTTTTGAAAATTTAAATATTGTTTTTACAATTCTCTAATTGATGATTTTTATTATTTTTTAAGTAGATGATATAATATTGATACAGCAAAGATTTTAAAGTGTTTATATTTTGGTAACACACCTGTATATTTTTCATGTTTTTCTTAAACAAAGAAGGGAATTCATCTTGTTCCATGGAATTTTGATCACATTCAATAGTTCAAAATGATTTGGTCTCTCTCTTTCTTCTTTTGATTTTTATTCTTCTTTTATATTTTCTTTTCTGTCAAAGAAAAAATTTCCACATTAAAATCCCAGTCTTTATAACTATCATTTCTAAATTTCTTTGATTACCATTATCCTCTTCTTTAAACTTAGCAGAAATGCAGGAATTTCTTTTGCTTTTCTTTCATTCATTTCTCTTATAAAATAAATCTGCTCTGAGAATTGTAAAAATTTTACAATTTTCATTATAAAAACTTAACTTATGGGTAAATCTTCAGGATAGACTTTTTCTACAGTCTTGATTGGCATATATTCTGAAATGAAAGAAATGGCTGTCCTACTGAGGCAACAAAATTTTTATATCAGTGATGAATAAATATATAACAAGATATCATCATTGATTTCTTATATCTGAAATGACACTTAACTGACTAATTTACTCGAGTTGCTCATTTCATTTTATAAATGAACAAATCCTTCCAATGAAATGTTCCATTTGTTTTTATAGTTCATCAACCCTTTTCCAAGTTATTAAACCAGAAATATTTTTAGATAGTAAAAATTTTTTTTTAATTTTAGTGATTCAAGTTTTTTTAATCAATGAGCTCAACAATAAAGCATTGGTTGGAACATTTTTATGTAATGAAATGCAAAATCAATTTATATACAAATACATATATATATATATATATATATATATATATATGCAACAACAAACATACATGTTTTATTAAATATATATTAATTTGAACTTTTGCTGATTTACATAATATCTCTTAGGATTTATTTTTACTGGAAAATTGAAGGGTTCAGAGGCAGACAATCATGCAATTAGTTTATATGCTTTTACTTAGGACATGGATAAAAGTTTGCTTTCATCATTAGTCTTAAACTACTGGAAAAATTTTATAGTTCTTCTATTTGCCCATAGTTTAAGCTCTTGTCAACTTTATGAGACCCCATGTCATATGATAAATAAAGCACATGCATTTAAAGAGGTGGTTCCTATCCTCAAAATATAATCTAGCCTGTCTGATGGACATTCAGTTTAACAAACATTTCTGAAGGACATTTATATTGCAATGTTGAAATATTTTACTTTTCCCAATGTTATAGTACATAACTGAATATAATACTGCAATGGAATTAACATTGGCTCTCATAAAACCAATTTTGAACTATAATCCATTTAATTTTTCTCAAATTTAAAAACCTGGTATTTCCAATCACCTATGTGATATATTTTTTAAGACAATATTTTATAGTCTTAATTTTGAGATGATTCTCATTGAGTAATTATTCATTTTGAAAATTTCTTCTATTCTTAGAACCTTTCCTCCTTTACCAATATTTTGGAGAATGTTCTCTGTTGGTGAAATTTTTGTAAATGCAAGTTAATCAGCCTTTTAGTGACAAGGCAAAGAATAAAAAATGAACTCTGAACAAAAATGTTGCTTATTATGAACACTACCTTATTTGAGAGATAAATATAGTGAGCAAGAAACTAAATTTAACTGATAATTTAATAAAAGCTAATATTTGAGAGAATAAATACCTCATATATTTAATAAATATATAAGGAAAAATTATTCCACAGGACAATATCTAAATCAAAACAGGTTTTGTTAATTTATGCAGCATTGAGATTAACAGTGAGTCATCAAATCCAATGACCATGATTCTTTTAAAATTGTCAAATTTATTGAAATCTTAAACAAAAAACAAAAAAAAGAAAGAAAAGTTTTTTTTGCCAAAACAAAAAACAAAAAAAATATAAAAAAAAAAAAAAAAAACAAAATATAAAAATGAAAAAAAACAAAAAACAAAAAAAAAAAAAAAACAAAAAGAAATTTTTCAAAAACAAAAACAGAAAAAAAACGAAAAAATAAAAAAAAACGAAGTGCAAAATCTTAAAAACTAAAAAACAAAAAAAAAAAAAAATAAAAAAAAAACAAACAAAAAAAAAAAAAAACAAAAACAAAAAAAAAAATCAAAAAAAAAAAAAAAAAAAACAAAAAAAATTAAAAAAAAAAAAAGAAAAAAAAAAAACAAAACAAAAAAACATTCAAAAACAAAAAAAAAAAGCTAAAAATCCCTTTAACATAAAAACGAAAAAAACAATCTGTTAAAAGAAATCCAAAAAAAAAAAAAAAAAAAAATTTTATCTAATAAAAAAACAAAAAAAAATAACATTTCTGGAAAAAAAAAAAAAACAAAACAAATAACAAGTAAAAAAAAAAACAATATGAAAAAAAAAAAAAAAAAAAAAAAAATAAAAAACAAAATAAAAAAAAAAAAAACGAAAAAAAAAAAAAAAAAAAAAAAATGAAAAAAAAAAAAAAAAAATAAACAAAAAAAAAAAAAAAAAAAAAACTTCTTGTCCCAAAAAAAAAACGAAAAAAAAAAACGAAAAAAAAAAAACAAAAAAAAAAAAAAAAAAAACGAAAAAAAAAAAAAATGAAAAAAAAAAAAAAAAACATTTCGAAAAAAAAACGAAAAAGAAAAAAAAAACTAAAAACGAAAAAAAAAAAAAACGAAAAACGAAAAAAAAAAAAAATTTAAAAAAACGAAATTAAAAAATAAAAAAAAAATAAAAACAAAAACCCCAAAAAACTCATGAAAAAAAACAAAAAAAAAAGAAAAAAAACGAAATCTTAAAATTCCAAAACTAAAAACATAACAGAATTAACCCGAGTTATTTCCCTTAGTATAGACAAAAAAAAAAAAAATTGACAAGTCTTCCCCTGTGGATTGAATCAAAAAAAAAAAAAAAATTTCGAAAAAAAAAAATTGGTATATGACGGCAGCTAGAGTGTGCACTAAATTGAAAAAGATGAGGACAAAAATCGGAATAAATTAATGCATAGAAAAAAATTTTCATTTGTTGATTTTAGTCATAACAGAATCCACCAAGAAAATATTTTTACTTAACTTATTTCTGGTAGAAGACAAAAAAAGGTTTCTTATTCAGTAAACAATTCTACTTAATATCAGCATTCATTCCTGAAGATAATTCTTTATTAAGTTTGGGGAAGACTACAATCACAACAGGTTATACTGATGTAGTTTTAGTTGAATGTGAATTTTTATAAGAACAGAGTGCTCACTAACAACCAAGATGGACTTCTTCACATGGCTAAACAACTTAGAGTGCCTGATTATTTCACATTGGGGAGAAGAGAGAGACAGAGTTAAAGTGAATTCAAATTGTCAGACAGAGTTTGAATTATAAACATTCAAATATTTCATAATGGTGAAATTAGCCTTTTCCATAAAAGAAATACTTGCAATACTTACTTTATGGCTTTGATGGTAGAAAAAACTTCCAGCAGTTTAGTGATGACAACCGATCGTAACTGCTTGAATCGCTGTACAGCCTCACGCACAAAGACAAGTACATCAGCTGCAGCCAATTCATTCTGGTCCCCTAAAAATTCCATCAGCTACAAATATAAAAATAAATAAACAAAAGAAGTTAGTCTCTTAAAAAGAAATATGCCATTGTTTAACAATTATAAGTTAGACAAAATTTGGAGAATGTGCCTTTAAAAAAAAAAAAAAAAAAAAAAATACTTATTTTTCGTTATCTCTTTTAAGGCCAAATTCAGTTTACAGATATTGTTAAAATTTCTCTAACAGTTGAGCAATATGTTAAATAAAAATCTTCTAATATGATCAATAGGGATTAGATTAACCATTTGGTCATCCTGTCAAATGTCATACAGTTAATTAACCAATTGATCGTATTGTCATTGTAAATCAAAATAATGTTAAAATATCAAAAAACCTCCTGTTTGACACACTCATCCCCTAATGAGCCCAGAATGAAATATATATGATTAGAAATGATTAAATCATGATTATGAATCAAAATAAATTTTAAAATATAAGAAAAGCTTCTGGTTAACACACTAGTCATCTGATGGCCCCAAAATGAAATATATGTGGTTATAAATAATTAAATTATAATAAAATCTAAGTATAGATGAATCATCAGCTGAATTTTAGTTTTGGTCTAAATATTTCTTGCCACATATAAATATGTTATACTATGGAAAAATATGGTGTAAGGATTAACAATCAGGATGATGTTTTTCAGTGTATTTTCTGTGTGAAATAAGGAAATATTAATCAACTATAATCATTTTTCAATATAAACTGTCAAAATTACTTCCTATGAGGTAAAATATTTTTTATAAAAGGTTATTCTCTGTGGTCACGTGAAATGAAGCTTTTTTGATGTTAAGCAACAAGAGAGCAAGTGACTGCACCTTCTTTTGGTCTTATGTTTTCTATTGACATGAAATAGCAATTGATTATATTGAATCAATTGCTAAATCAGCAGCTAGGAATGTCAGTTCACCATCTCGTAATGGACAATTCCCCCCCCCCTGTCAGAATCTATCTTTCACATAAATCTATTTGTCCATGTATCGAAAGTTGCTGTCACATCTGGCCTGATGCTTCTGCAATGTATCTAGAGATTCTTGACAAAATCCAAAGAAGAATTGTCATCATCAACAGTCCTGACATCTTAGCTTCAGTCACTTTCCCACAGCCATAATACAGCTTCCTTTTTACCTCTTCTACAAATATTTTCAGTCATTGTTCTGATGAGCATTCCTCATTGGTACCTCAATTGGCAGCCATGTTTCATAATTTCACTGTTTAAATTACTAAGATTGTAATCTTTAAATGCAATATCAATCATGTTTTTGTTTCCTTGAATAATAATTTTTTTTATTGTTTTTATTTTAAAAATTGATAAACCCCTTGCATTATTAGTGGCTTTTTGTTTGAATAAGGTAAAAATGGAAAAAAAAAAATTTCTTTTTTAAAAGACATTTTTCATATTTAAAATTCCAAATTTTTAATAACTTTCTTAGAATTTTAATTTTCAATGTAAAAATATTTAAAAAAAGGAAAATTTCATTTTTATGCAACAAATGATTTTCACACCTTTTTCATTTTCAAAAATGGATTTATTTTTTAGCATGACAAAAATTTAAAATTTTAACTTGTTTTATGAAAATTTTCTATTTATTTATTTGTCAATATTTTTTTCTTTATTTGCCATTTTCTGGTTCATCAAATTATTTCTCACTTCTACAATTTTTATTGAAATCTTTTATCTCTAATGTTCTGAAATTCATTTTTTTTTTTTAAATTCTTCATTTCTGAGTATTTTATTCCCATTTCATACTCATTCTTTCTCAATTTCCATTTTATTTTCCAGTTTTTTGATTTTTCTGAGAAGACCAATTTTTTACATGAAAATATTAAATTCTATATATACAATTTATATTCAAAACTATTTGAAAAGAAAACCCTAGTTGGATTTGTCTTTTAAATGTCTTAGATTAGAAACAGATTTTAACAATAACTCACACATCCTAGAACATTTCCCAATTAAGATTTTCATTTATTTCTGGGATCTTTAAAAAGAAAGTCTGCCCAGACACAAAAGTAAATATCTATAACAATTAAAAAAAACCATGAGTGATAAAACTTTTAATTATTGAATTTTTATCATGCATCTATTTGTCTTTGTCAAAAAAAAAAAATTTATTTTTTTTGGAAATGTTTTTTATAAATATCAGGTTAAACATCTAATATTTGAATATACCATTTATGGATCCAGTTTTGAACTTATGATAAAAATTGTATAATTTTGGATCATTTCATTAGGATCAGAAAAAATATTTTTTCAATTTTATAGATTAATCAAGATTTTTTTAAAAAAAAAAAAAAAAAAAAAACTTTATAAAAATTAAAAAAAATATTTTAAATTAAAAAAATTCATTTTTAAATAAAAATAAATTGTATTTTGATAATACCCAATTACAAAGACAAAAACAAATTTGTTCAATTTTAGATTTATTAAAATTGGAAAAATTTTTTTTTTTAAATTCTAAAATATTATATATGAAAATAGGTGGTGACAAAATTTTCAAAAAAAATTTTTTTTTTTTATTTTTAAAAATTGGAATATTTTTGAAATATTTTTTTTTAAATTTTCATTTAAATTTACAAAAAAAATTTGACCCATTATTATTTAAATAAATTGTTGAAAAAAAAATATTTATTATTATTATCTCTATAAAGATATAAAAATTGAAAAAAAATTTTAAAAATTCTGAGAATTTTCAAATGAACTCATTTTTAAAAAAAAAAAAAAAAAAAAATTAAAATGTTTATTTCAAAAAAAATGTTTATTTTCAAATTAGAATGATTCATATCAACAAGATAAAATAAAATTCAAAAAAATAAAGGTCAGCAAAAAGAAGACGAATACAATAATCCTAATTCAGTGACAATTTATTTTGATTTTTTAAACAACTTTTTTGATTAAAATTAAAATGAATTCAGTTAATTTATTAAACCTTTTTGGGATAATGGTTTTTTTCCACATGTTTTTTTTTCAAAAAATTTGGTTTGGATTTTGAAAAACAATCCATCTAAAAAAAAAATACTTTCTATGTGTCTTCATTTTTATAAAATTTAATTTGTCTTAACAATTTCCTTCTTTTGAAATAAAGACCATCTAATCAATAAATTGACTTTTAATAAAAAAATTATCATTTTTAATAATAAAAGAAAAAAAAAAATTTTAAAGAAAAAAAAAATTTTATTTTGAATCTTTAAAATGTTTTCAAACAAACATTGATTTTCATTCAAAAAGGGCTAAAAAAAATATAGAAAAATTTTTTAAAATGAACAAAAAATTGAAAAAAAACAAAAAATTTGAACAATTTTTCACATTTACATCATCTTTAAATAATCTTCAATTTTTTTCAACATTAAAAAATATTCCCTCAAAAAATGTTTTTTACTTTTATATTAGTTTCTATATATTTAAAAATTATTTTTTTTTCATTAAAATAAAAATTTCATTAATTTTATTTGGATGATTTAATGAATACAAATGTTAAAAAAAGAAATTGAATTGATTTTAAAATATTTCATTTTTTACATTCTTTTTCTTGGCAAAATATTAAAAACAGTTTTTTTAATTTAAGGTTTTAATATAAAAAAAAAAATTTTTTAAAAAAAAAAAAAAAAAAAAAATTTTTTAAATTCAAATTCAAAAATTTTTTTTAAATTTAAATAATTTCCAAATTTTGTTTAAAAATTTTTATTTCAAAAAAATTTTATATAATTTTATTTTATTCAGTTATATATTCATTTTCATTATTTTAAATTGACTTTCAATAATTTTTGAATAAAATACCATTGTTTTTTTGATTTTTCCTGATCTTTTTTAATGAGATTTAGGAAAAACCTATTTATAAAATATTTTGAAATCAAAAAAAATTCATTAAATAACATAATTTTTAATATAAAATAAATTTAATTTTTAAAATTTTTCATTTATAAAAATTAGATCATGCTAAAAAAATAAATATAACATTTTAAACGTTTATATCCTTTGTTATTCATTAGATGAAAACATCTTTGTTTTTGTCAATTTGGGGGGGGGAAAATTTACCCTTTAAAAAAAAATGTATAAAATTATTGCCATGCAGATTTTAAGTTATTTTTCTATTCCACATTAATTAATTTAATACAAATTATTAGCAAACTTTTTTTTGATGAACTTTTAAATTTTTTTAAAATTGACTTTTTATCAAAAACAGAAAAAAAACAAAAAAAATTAAATAAAAAGGAACTAATTAAGAATTGAAAGGTCATCCAAATTGAAAAAAACAACAATAAATTAGAAAGATAAATTTTTCAATTTTTTCATTAAATTCAAAAATTTAATGACAAAATTCAAAAACTTACATATTTAGTATATACATCATAAATTTATTATATATTTTTATACATTAGAAATTAAAATTATTTTTAAAAATAATAAAATTATTTATAACTTTTACATAAAAAAATATTTTTTATATTTTTTATTTTATATATTTTTCATTTTTAAATAAAAAATTTATATTAAATCAAAGAAATATCAATTTTAAAAAAATATCAATATTTGCATCATAATTTAAATTTTGTAAAAAAATTTCAAAAAATCGAAAAGATTCAACGAAATGCAGATAAAAAAAAATCATCAATATCCATGCCACTTACTAAATAACACAATTTCATGCTTTTTTAGGATTTAACAAATATAAAAAATTATAACTATTATTAAAAAAATATTAGAAATTTGAGGCAAATTTAATATTTTAAAATATTTATTCAAATATTTTTAATGCAATGAAAATTTTTATGATGTTTTGACAGTTTATCATTTTTTTAAAAAAATTAATATCAAATTAATTTTTTATTTTAATTTTTATAAATATTAAATAAATTGATTAATGAAAATTTCCATTAATGTAAATAAGCTCATTTTTTTAAAATTCCTATTAAAAATTTTATTTTCAAAAATAATATTATTTTATTCATTTTTCATAAGTTATATATATTATAAAATTTTTTTTAATGT